ACGCCTTGCTGAAATCCATGGAGACAACGTCCACCCGTATGGCTTTATTAATCCTCTTTGCCACTTCTTCAAAAAACTTAGTCATGTTAGTGATTCATGATTTCCCATGCACAGCGCCATGTTGACTATCTCTAAGCAGTCCTTGCCTTTCCAAACACGTGTAAATCCTGTCCCTCGGAATCCCCTCCAACAACTTACCCACCACGGATGTCAGGCTCACCGGTTTATAGTTCCCTGGCTTTTCCTTACCACATTTCTTGTATAACGGCACCACATTAGCCACCCTCCCAGTCTTCCAGCATGTCACCTGTAGCTATCAATGAAACAAATGTTCCTGAGGATTTATCCAGCTTTATGCGTTTTAAGACATCCAACACCTTCCCCTCTGTAATATGGACATTTTTCAAGATAACGCTATTTATTTGTCCACATACTCAAAAAGAAAATTTTCTTGTATACACTTAACAAATTCCTCTCTGTGGATTACTTCATAAAGTAAAATTTACCAAGTATAAACTATTTACTTACAAAATTTAAAAGAAGTATCACTTGAAGCTTATTTTTAAAAACGGAATGGGACACATTTTAAATTATTGATAAAACAGTTTACATTTCTAAGCTCAATATAGAGGAATGCATTGATGAATTCTTTCCTCTTTGTAAGAGTAAGATGCAATTGATGCTACATTGACTTTTTTCTGAAGATTTAAGAGTCTTAGTCATGCACTGTGGCCCCTAAAGAATGGCATACATGTTCAAGAATTTAATTTATATTAGGTTTAGATTCTGTCTCATGACCACTTTCAAACTTTGACATAATTTTATTATCCTGATCTACTTTTAATGAAAAAGTGTTTCTAAGGTGCTAACTAAACTCTTCTACACTCAGGTCTAAACATTCAATGAGTGTCATATTCTAAATTGTGGAGAAATGCCAATAGGCCCAATTGTAAGTGGCCCATTCTTTTCGAGTCAGCTATCACCATTATATTTTTGGGCTATATCCGCAACAGACCAAAAAATGCTTAAATGGTTCTTCCTGACAAAAAAAAAACCATGCACAAATTGTAGCTTAATTTATTAGCTGTTATATATCCATGAATCTGTAGTGGACATAACATGATTTATTAGTTGGAAGTCCTCCAAACATATTTTTTAATCATTAGTTTCTTCTTATTCAAAGGTTTGGCTTGCTGTAGAGAATTCATTGTCAGGTACAGAAAACATTATTGATCCTGTGCATGGTTTATGTTTATTTCCCAATATGACACATATCTCAGGAAACAAGATAAATTGAGAATGTTGTACAACAGTCACCAAGTCAGCATACAAAAATAACTGCATATCTACAAAATAGAAACCTAAGCAATGAACTAAATTACTGCCATTCAATATAAATACAGCAAGCTAAGATTGAGAAAAACTATGATTCGGAGCACTTCAAGGCGCAAATTAAGCTGGAGGTGAGATGCTAATTCACATTAACTAGTAAAAAGAAGTCCCACTGCAGGATTTGAGTACAAAAATCTACGCTGGCCCTGAATGTAACACCTAATGAGGTGGAACCTTTATCATAAGGTGTTGAACCGAGGCTTGATCTGCCCTCACAGGTGGACATAAAAGATGCCATGGTACTATTTTCAGGAAGAGCAGCATGTTATCCTTGATGTCATAGTCAACATTTATCCCTAAAATCAACATCACAAAAACAGATTATCCAATTATTATCATATCACTACTTGTTAACTCTGTTTCTCTTTCCAAAGATATTCTAGACTTGCTGAACATTGCCAGCATTTAGTTTGTATTATAGCAACTTGTCTTGTTCTCCTGATCAAGATTTCTCTTTATAGCAAGATCATCAAAAAAAAGATTAATTGGCCATTCACTTATTTCACAATTAGTTCAGCTTTACTGTGTGCAATTGGCCTCACGTTTGCTAACATACCAAATTATTTCACTTCAGTGTAATTAACTCGTTGGAATGTGCTTTGAGATATCATGAAGTGTATGAAAATTCTCTCTTATGGTACCCAATTGGAAATTATTTGTATGTGATCTTCCATAGTCTAAGGGATGCAAAGTTAAAAGGAAATAATGGTCAACTGGTTTAGCCGTTCACTGCCAAACCTAGTTGGAATATTTAAAAAGTTATTGCATCGTTCCAGCCTGTCAAAGCTGCAGAGCATTCCAAGATCTATCCTAAGCACAAAATTAACATCAGATTTATTTTACAAATAACCAAAGAACTGCAGATGCTGGAAATCAGAAACAGAAACAGCTAGAAAAAACATAGGTCTGGCAGCATCTGTGGATAGGAAGCAGAGCTAACATTTCAGGTGCAGTGACTCTTAGATCATAGTTCATAGAATCCCTTCAGTGTGGAAATAGGCCCTTCAGCCCAACAAGGCCACACCGACCCTCAGATCATCTTCAGAGCAGAACGGTCACTTCTGAACAAGAGTCACTGGGTACGAAATGCAAACCAAACTTTTTTTTGCTTAAGAAGTGTCTGCTTAAAACACTCTCCCTTCATCTCCAACCGTAAATGAAAGGAGATCATGGATATTTTTCACACTAAGATTTAACAATCTGAGAAGCCGCCTCTGCCTTTCCACGAGTCCACCTGGCCCAATGTCCTCTAATACTTCCTCTCTCCTGAATCCTGAACTCACACCTTTCTATAATCTCCCTCCTATTCCTCTTTATGCCTTTCCAGAGCTCCTTTGGCCAACAGTTCCAGCTCTCTTCGCTCTGTTCCCAGTAAATCACTGACCATGCAACTTCCTCTCCTGATCCCTATGTTCACGAGATAGTTAATGGATTTCTCTCATTAAATGAAGTTGCTCTCTTTAAATTTGCATTACCATACCCTGCTCAAAAAAATCAACCCCTGACCCCACTGTCCTTGTAAACTCCAGCACCAACATGAGTGGCATCGTGACTCAGTGGTCAGCACTGCCACCTCACAATGCCAGAGATCTAGGTTCAATTCCATTCTCAGGCAACTGTCTGCATGTTCTCCCTACATCTGCATGGGTTTCCTCCAGACACTCTGGTTTCTTCCCACAATCCGAAGATGCGCAGGTTAGGTGGACTGGCCATATTAAATTGTCCATAGTGTCCAGGCTGAGTGGATTAGCCATGAGAAATACAGGGATAGGAAAGGAGGGGGGTTGAATGGTCTTCAGAGGGTCAGTTTGGATTTGATGGACTGAATGGTCTGCTTCCACGCTGTAGGATTCAATGATGCCTTTCCTTTTCAAAATCCCTGAACGCATTGTTGCCTCCCAAATCCATTTTCAACTTGCCTAATATGCCATGTTTAAATCACCCTAATCAGGCTTTTACCCTTAGTATGATGTTGAAAATGGCACTTATTCAATGCAGCTGAGACAATAGGTGAACCTTTTGCCTTCATCCTCTCTACCTGCCTGCAGCTCACAAAGTGGTTCAGTACCTCCTCCTCCAATGTGTCTGAATTGCTGCCTGGCTGGATGTGAAGTCTCTCACCTGGTTTCATTCTTATCGATTTAATTAGAACCAGAGAATTACTTGCAGTGTTGTTGCTTCCTGCTCACACCTTAAGTGTTCACCAAAAATCTATCCTTTGACTTCTTCAATTTCTCAGCTTCATGGCTCCTTGTAGTAACATTACTCCAAAGAAAGGCGTTAGTTTTCACACGTACACTGAGAAAACCCAGCTGTTTCTCATCACAACCTCTCTTGACTCAACAATTGCTAGACCATCAGATCAGATCTAGCATGAGAAACTTCCTCCAATTATTAGGAAGCTTGGTCCTCAGCCCAAACTGTCTTTCCTTTCTATTCTTCCAGGCAGCTGTCTAAGATTACGCTAGCAGCCATGCTTGTCACATCTTCCCCAATGAGCTTCTGACCATACCACTGCATTATCACTGAGATCACCTATTTCCACCTCCATAACACTGCTGGTTTTGCCCAGTTGTCACCTCTATATTTGACTATTCAAATTTATTGCAGTTTCATACCTTGGGCTCTGTGTAAACTTACAATCATCGAAATGCTGCTGCCAATGATATAACCTGCATCAATGTCTCATATCATTTCTGTGCTGGCTGAACAACATGGATTTCCAGGCAAAGAATTTTAAACTTCTTACCCTTGTTTTCAAATCGCACCATGATCTTACACCTGTCTAATTCAGAAATCTCCACCAATCCTTTGTGATATATTTGCTCATCTGATTCTGTAATCTTCAACATCCCAATTTTAACTACTTGGTCATCGAAGGCTGCCCCTAGGCTGTAAGCTCTGAAAATTACTCCCTATACTGCTATGTTTTTCTATCTTGCTTACCTTCCTCAAGACACTCCTTGAAGCCTACTTCTTTGACCAAGTTTAGGGTAATTTGACCTAATCTCTTTGTCACATGTTTCATGCTTTGCTTTACAACACTCCTTCAAAGCATCTTGTGATGTTTTTGTCCATGAAAGGCTCTAAGTAAACATAAGCTGTGACTAAAGAACAGGCAAGCTGGTACAGTTTCAGTGTGAGTCATAGAGTTTTGGTAGAGTAGACAGTACTTGCTCCACGGAGTGTGAAACACTGACGTTTAGTAACAGGAGCACTTTGTAAACAGAGTGAAATCAGGAATGTGGTGCCAGTAGGAGTTAGCTGCAGAGAGGAGAGGAAGAACTTCTTTTATCATTTTTGTTTTACCTTCATTTGCTGCCGAGTGTTTTTCCTTGTCTCCAATCCGCAAAACTGTAAATTCCTATTGTTACCTGATGAGTTACTAATAAACTTATTAGGTAAATAAGATTAGACAGACATGGTAGGGCAGGTGCTGTGTCAGAACTGTGGGCATGTCTGCAGCTCGAGTAACTTTAAGTTGCTTAACTGAAGTCTGAGCTGCAAACATTGCAAGGGAACAAGGAGGGAAAGAGCTGCCAGCACACTTTGTTCCAGGAAGCAGTCACAACCCCTCAGGTTAAGTAGAGCATCAAAGTTGGGCAATGGTCAGGGCAGCAGGGCGTTACTGCGAGTCAGGATAGCGATATATTTCAGGATGCAGCGATGGGGGTCGCTTCAGCCCATGGCTTTGACAATTTAGTACTTCTGAGAATGGGCAAGCTGACCGTGGCATCTTCATCTTAATTGACAAGACAATGGCTTTCTTTAAAGGTGGAATTCCTGTGTCTCCACAATCTGCTATATTCAACAAATCACTTAAAACCTCATTCTGGAGGTAAGTATGGAGATGGCTTTCACTTTGAATCTCCCTACTTTGGTGGGGTGTGCTTGCTTTCTGCTCACCTGCCTGAAATGATAGAGTTGAGATCACACATGAAATACAAAATTGGCCTATGCCCTATCATTTCTTACAACTTTTGAAACTAAAACAAGTCCAGGTTTCTCTGTTTTTATTCCAAGTTTTTATGGCAATTTTCATAAGCTAAAAATGTCAGGTTGTAAATTTTTTGATTTATTAATTGCATATCTTATTTTTAAAAGAAGTGCTACAAATGGATTGCCCTTTAAGAACTATAAGTGGATCACAGACTATTTGCTCCTTCAAAAAAATAATTAACACATCTTACACAAAAGATGTGTTCACCCTGCCACAAAATATTTGATGGTTACTAACTAAACACACACCTTCAACCAACAAAAGATCCAGGACTCATTTCCAGTCCTAGAAACCACAATTCAGGAACTTACTGCAAAAGTTAAAGAGCCAGATAGATGTGTGCATTAGGTCTGTTTAGATTTATAAGGTACCATTGCAAAAATAAATAACATCAAAGGAGAACATTATTGATACTTTTTGGTGATACTGGTCTGAAATGTGAGTGTTCATGCTTCAAATATAAAAGTAAAGCAGATGAAACTACACTTACACATTTTGAAATTATTAGTTTAAATAAAATATTAACACAAAAAAAAATCACCATTGCATCTGTTGCTTAAGAGGATGTGAAAAGAAGAGTCTGGATTTTAAACTGCCTGGAGGCTACAAGTGTGTGTGTCTTTGTTGTTGGTGCCAATTACGGCATGCCTGGTTTATTTGATACCACAGTTGCATGGATGGAAGAGTTTGCGGCTGTGAAAAACAAAGTAGCAGGAAGAGTTTATTTTTTAATAAAAAGCCATAGCGATTTTGGTTCTTTTATCCTCAGACACGCAAGAAGTAAAAATAACTACCCCATCCTGTTTTAAACCTTGTGGCAGATTTAGTAACACGTTGCCAAGTATCATTTCAGTGTCAAAACCAAAGAAATCAAACAGTCACAAGGAAATTAAATTTATACCACATCCTGCAAATTCAACACTGACAGAACTTAAGCTTAACTGTTACTGCGAAATTTTATCTAGAACAAAACTAGACTATTTTTTTAAATGTAAAGAATGAAACATGTCAAGGAAGCAGTCTTGAATGTTTTGTGTGCAGATTAAACTTTCTTACAATAAAATGTCTTGAATCGACTTGTACACCAATCAACAAATAATGGGAACAAATCACAAAAACTACTGTTTACTAGAGTCGTAACATTGAATATCATGGAGCAATAGGGCATGGAGTTGTTTCCCACAAGCAGCCCCATCTCAGCCACAATATTCCATGAAATCTTTTGTGGTTCTGCTCAATTTCCCCAGCCCCGCTGGAGAGGCCACGCACTTAAAAATTATATCCGACACCAGATCATACCCTGCTGTTTTAGGTGACATTAGTGTGGTCTAACAGTTAACTACAGAAAAGGGAAGAGAAGAAAAGAAAGTTCTCTCCAAAATCATCCATTTGTGTAATATGTTCCTCTGTGTTACTCTAAAAGCAGCAGTAAGTGATAACTTGGGCAGCAGAATAGATAAGGTGTACCAGTAAATGTGGTGCATTTGGATTTTCAGAAAGTTGTTGATAAGGTTCCAATCAAGTGAATAGTAAACATTATTAGAGAACACTGAATTGGGGAAAATCTCCCAGCAGGAATTGAGAATTGATCAGTGAAAGGAAAACAGAAGGAGGAACAAACCATCCTCAGGTTTATAGGCTGTGACTAATAGGGTATTGCAAGAATCAATGCTGGTGTCCCAGCTACATATAATCTACTTCAATGATTTAGATACACGGAACAAATATAGATTTACAAGTCTGCTGATCACACAAAGTTAGCTGTGAGGAAGATTCAAACGGCTTCATGGGATTTTAAAAACACTACGAGAGTGGGCATAAACTGTACTGATGCACTATGAAATGAAAAATATGAAGTTAATCACTTTGGTAGGAAAGAGAAAAATGCAGAGTATTTCTAAATTGGTGAGAGATTGGGAAGTGTTGATGTTCAAAGGGACCAGAGTATCCCTGTTCATGTGCCACTGTAAGCTAACATTTAGGTGCAAAAAGCAATTGGAAGGTGAATCATATATTGGTCTTTATTGCTAAAGAATTTGAGGACAGGAGTAAAGATGGCTTGCTGCAGTTGTTCAGAGTCTTGATGATACCCAGAGTATTATGATCAGTCTCCTTACTTAATGAAGGATGTACTTCATATAGAAGTATAGAGGGAATGCAGTTTAACAAGGTTAAGCAAACTAACTTTAGGGGGAGGGGTGTCCAAGAGGAGAGATCAAAGAAATTCAGCCTGCATTTTCCTAAACTCTAGAGAATAAGAAATTACCTAATTACTTATTTAGTATTTTTTTATTGGTATTCTACTGCAAAATTGATACAGGTATCAACAGACTGGATGCAGGAAGGAGGTTTCTCATTATTGAGGGGTTTAGACCAAGGGATGAGAATGAGCAGTAATTTCTTCACTCACAGGGTGGTGAATATTTGAAATTCTCTATCCCAGAGGACTGTAGAAGCTCAGTCATTATATTTAATACAAAGACTCATCAATTTCTAGCTATTAAAGACATCAAGGAATATGGATATGGTGGGGAAGTGGCACTGACGTAAAAGATCAACCATGATTGGCTTGAATGATGGAACATGTTCAAGGGACCAAGTAGCTTACTCCAGCTTTTATTTTTTAGGTTGCAAAGTGGGATGGAGTATGGCTCACACTAGTCCCAGACATCATTCTCTTCTTTCACATGCCAAAGCTGCAGCATAAAAAGGTAAACTACAGACAATCTTAGATTTTAATGTATACATGTGCATCACTTTAGAACGCTTTTTTTAAAACCCTGGTTTTGTTCACCCTCTTCTAAAAAGGCATCCCGGTTAGATGTTGAATTCCATAGGAACTGAGAGCCTGCACCATTATGTTAATTCTAGGATTGCAGCATTCTGGAAGAGATGCTTGTGAGGGTGTTGGTAACATGAGGTCATTTGGCTTTGTTTTTCCTCCTGATTTTCTATACTGGTAACCATTTCTCCAGATTCCTTGGGGGAGATTGTCTAACAGTGAAATGACACAAGTCAAGTTATATCTTACATTTCTCAACTGACAGTCTATAACTACAGGAACATTAGGTGGTATTTAAAAAAAAAACCAGCACTTGCCTTTGTAAACAATGGTGACTTCACTACCCAGCAGGTCAAGCCAAGTCATGACTGTTACCATGGCTACTGACACCTCCATGTGGAGTGGGAGCGACGGTACTATGTAAAATAGCAAGTGATGATAGCTTGTTACACAAAATCTTGGTGCTTAGCCTGCCCTCCAGCTTTGTTCTTTCAGTCTTCATATCATCTGACCCCTTGAATTGTGTAGCTACTCTACAATTCACTTGTACAGGGATAATAGACATGAATCTTTTCAAAACCATGATTCTTGCAACTGCCATGCTCGAGATGTCAGGCAATGAAATGACAATAAGGTAACAGAAAAACAGTATTCAATCAAAATACAAAGATCACCTCAGAAAAATCTCCATGACAACCCATTTTGAAATAAATCCAGTTTAAAAAAATCCCAATTTTAAATGAATGTTGCAGATAGTTTTATCTCATTGATTTACCAAGCAAGTTTAAAATTGCTTAGATTTGAAACATTTTTAAAATTGTGAGTTATAATTAAGGAAGCAATGGTGCACGATAAAAAACAATAAAATTCAACTTTGGTGGTAGCATACTATGGACAACAGCAAATTAGCAACCTATTTGTATCTCGCCTGATTTTCTTATCCAATGATGACAAGTATCATACTCCAATAAAAGCAGGCAATTCGTTCTTACTCATTTTGGTACTATAACTAAGTTGAACTTTATTCTCAGGCACTTAGAATATATTTATGATGAGGAATAGTATTAAAACAACGTTGCTGAAAAAGTTTTGTATGTGTTACATAGCAGTACACGGCCACACCAGTATAGTTCACTGTTATTTCATACATTGATAATTTGCAATGTTGAGCATGCCTTCAGGGAATCCATGAAGGAGTGGACTGCACTTCAAACTGAAGGCATGACTGCCTCCCTTGGCTATTCTCACACAATTCCCAGTGTGCAACACAATAGTGGCATAACAGATATCAAAATATTGTTTTACTACTCAAGTTCAGAAAACATGGAGTGGCTAAAAGACATATGATTAACAGAAAGAAAGAAACAAACAACACAATATAAACGTTCAAATCTTTGGTATAATTTTAATCCTGTTTCTTCAGGGTGTGACTTTTATCCAAGGTCAGTGTGAGCAAATGAGAAGTCATATGAAATAGCTATACCGATTCAGAAGAATGTCTTGGAGCATTGCACTTTGCAAAAAGTACAACAGCAAAAAGGAAGGTCAGGAATTTGGAGAGCAAGAGAGGGATGATTACATGTTGAAATGAATGGAACTTTAAGGAGACTCGGAAAACAGAAACAGTAAGGTGAAGGTGCTTTGGAACAGTCTCGAGGTTTTGAGCACAGCAGGTGGAAAACAGATTCTCATTGATCTCAAGCAGGAATATGGAAGGAAATATTCCTAAGTAAAACAGGCAATCAAAACGAAAAAAACTTGCACTTATCTCAGGGGTGACACATTAATGGTAAGACTACACAATCTGCATTACAGTCATTATTTTAAATATCAAATAAATTATTCTCACAAATTATGTGTGTGTGTAAAATATTTTAAGTTTGGAACTTATTTCCAAAAGGTTTCTAAAGTTGTGTAAAGCGTGGACTGAGGTCAATTAACAGGAAGTGTTAAGTAAATTTAGTCCATATGATATTCCTTACGAAAACAGATGAGCTACAGTTGTGTTTTCTTTGCATTATGTTACCCAGACACATTAGCAGGACAAAACATTAAGTATATTTGAATAATATGACAGCTATAGGTACTTGTACTTTATTTTGGAGGTTTAGTTTTGACCCTTTAAATAGGAGGCAGAATATATTACATGGTTCAGGTTGAAATTCTTTTTCAATACACATCATAAACAGAGAAGCTTTTTATTTCTATTTATTTATTCAGATCAACTTTAACATCTATTCTAACTCCTTGCTTTCTGCCTTTAATTGACACTTTGTTTAAAAGACTTTAAGAATTGAGATTATTTTAAAATCTACATTTTTGATGATGTTAGATGGACAAAAAATATTTGCAATACAATTAAAGCTTAAGCTAAACAACATTATAGCAACATTGTAAAATTCAAGGAAGGAGTTCAAAAAAATACTCTGATCCAGTACTTTTTCCTGACATCCCGAGACCAAATTCCATTGAAAAGTAATGCAAGTTTCCAGTAGAGTTGATCACCTTCTTAATTTAAACCACATACCCATATAATGAGAAGCAGTGCAAATCCACGGTTGTTTCTATACATTCCAGTTGCCTATCAATTTACATATTTTAAATTAAACACACCAAATCAATGCATTATGGCAGATTCATGCTGTACACAATTAAAGCAATAATTGAAGACATTTGTCAGGAATGATGTCCAATTGGAAGCAAGTGTGTATTTAAAATTCACATCTTAAAAAAAAAAATCTGATACTAACCTACAAGCAAAATGACTTAATCTCACATTGCACGTAAAGAAAAGGAAGCCATCAATCAGTTATAATTACGGTTCTCTGCAGCAAAGCATGGTAAAAATTGCAGTAACTGGCTGTCACATTTTTGCAATGGCACGGAAATCTTAACACTCCAAAAATGTAAAGTCATACCTCTTCCTAAATCCATTACCAGACTGCATTAAACATTTGTGTGTGAGAAGCTCTGAACATCAGCATTTAATCTACAGTAACTGATGAGGCTCATTCATCAATCAGTGCAACTCTGTTTGATCACTCTGAAGTATTGGTTGGTGTTAGTATTCAGGGACCCTTTACAGTTGAATCACTTGGAATGGATTCTAGCCAAGTTTACTTTTTCCTGCTGCTAATGCTTCCACAAGTATGGTGAAATTAATTAGACATACTTACAACAGTTTTAGAAGTATTATTAAGGGTTTTCTGTGCATTAGGTAATGGGCAATAGGAGACAGACAGATAAAGATGAGCAAAGGACTTGAATTTGACAGGCCTGTTTAATGGGCACTTAATGCTGGTATTTTAGTATGTTCTGTCAATCCCATGTACCTAAAAGTGCCTTTTTTTTTTGCTTTGCACTCTCTTGTTCCATTATATTACCTTCAAGAACAAAGTATAATTCTTGCCTGGTTGAGAAAGATAAGAGATGGAAAATAGTTCATTATGGTTTGAGTTAGTACGTTACAGTGGATTTAGTTTATATTGTAACATTTTGGTGGTAGGCAGATCTTTACTTAAATCCAAGCATCTACAGTCAGTAATTTTATGTCAGCTTATATGAATATTTGTTGGTACAGTGGACCTAGGTTACTAGGATATGAAAGTAATTTAAGTGCACTCATCTATTGAGATAACACTCTGATGAGCGGTCAATTATCTGAAACATCAATGTGCTTCCATATCCATAGATGCTGCCTGATTAGCCGAGTGTTTTTAGATGCACACCTCCGTTAAAAATCTTCAGGAAGGTTTGCAAGAGATCACTACAAGGGACTGACCAAGTTACTTCCAGTGCTGACAAAATTTTGAACTAAATGTTAACCTGCTTTGGCTTTAGGATGTTGATGGACAGAATGTGCACTTTTGGTACTTTTAGTTTTAATTTCAGAATTCTAGCATTTATTGTTCTCATTTTTTCCAAAAAGAGTCTTATGATTGGTTCCTGAAATTTTCCACACTTGATGCAGTTAGACAAAATACACTGACACCCTTCTCATGTCACATCATCATAAATATTTAAAAATATCTTGCAGGAGCTTTTTTTTGCTCTTGGGAGTTGCTAGCATGACCAGAATTGATTGTCCTTCCTTAAATGCCCTTCAGAAGGTGGCAGTGAAGCATCTTTTTGAAACACTGCAGTCCATATGGTATAGGTAGATCCATAGTGCAATTCGAAGGAATTTCAGGATTTTGGCCCCATGATAGTGAAGATATGGTGGTAAAGATTCAAGTTAAAATAATGACTTGAGAGAGTACTTGCAGGTGGTGGTGGTGTTTCCATGCCTTTTCTACCCTTGTTCTTCGAGTTGGCAAAGTTTGTACATTTGTTAAGTGCTACCGAACGAGCTCTGACAAGCTGCTGCATCTTGTACACGATACACACTGGCCACTATGTACTGATGGCAGAGGAAGTGAATGTTTAAAGTGGTGAACGGGGTACCAATAAGCAGGCTGCTTTGACTTAAATAGCACCAAGCGTTCCAGGAACTGCGCACATCTAGGCAGGTGGAGAATATTCCATCATATTTCTGACTTGTGCTTTGTAAATGGTGGACAGTCAGCTGGTAAGCTCTTGTTTCAGAATTTTCAGTCTCTGACTTGCTCTGAAGTCATTATTTGTATGGCTGGCCTGATCCCTCATGAACGTTGCAAAATGCTTTCCCCAAAAAGGCAATATTCCCATTGACTCATACGAATACCTTGCCCAAGGCCAAACCAGAGAAGTATCTGCAAAGGTGCTAACGGCCTTGAGCATATCCAACAGGCCCAGGTTGATGATGAGCACAAAAAGCAGAAGGAGCATGCATGAACATGAGCAGTCCACCTGACAATCTCTTCGAACACCATCTGAGTCAATTATGGCAGGGTTCGCACTTAGTCACTCGAGGACCCATAATTCCAAAGTGGAAGAAAATCCTCATCAATC